GGGGCTGCGTCTCAGGTCGACTATTTTCATTTCCTCGGTCGTCGGTCATCGGTATCACCGGAAGTTGATTTGTCTGCGCCATCTTGAGTAGCGTCCCATGGCTCTTATTTCTGCCGGAGGACCGAGGATCGAGGAGCGATAATGGAGGAGCGATAACCGAGGAACCACCAGACCGTCCTCCGGTGAAATCCTCAGATACTCGCTCCGCCCCCTTATCGCTCACTGATTGGACGATGCAGCGCATGCACTGATCTGATGCTTCTTGACATGAGAGTAGTTTCCCAGCGGAGTGAAGAAAACACATGAAACTCACGGGACTCACTCCTCAGTTTATACTGTGTTTTGTTTCAATGAATGCATCATTCAGTTACAAATATGTGATATATCTGAACAACAAAGTGGTCAAAAATTATTTTATTCATTTATTGGAAACATTTTCATGATCGCTTTTTTCGTTTATACATTTTAAGAATGGCCTTTATCTTTTTTGAGAATGACTTCTTATTTTATTTGTATTTATTTGGGTCTACAACAGATGATACAAATGTATATGTCAGTAAATGTGTACTAACAGAGGCGGGGGTGTGTGTGAAAATAACGGGGACAGAGCTGCTGTCAGACGAACAGCTGTGCGGCGTCATCACAAACGGACGTCGCTTCACGTGACGCTCCGGAGGAAAGGACGTCCCATTGGTCTTAAAACTCATTTCCCTGCTTCTCGTGGTTTCCTTGCGTCTCTCCATGCTTCCCTGGTGGGAGGGACTAAACGCAGGGAAACGACGCAAGTGAGGGACGCAAGGATTCCATTTAATCGACCTGAGATGCAGCCCGGGTAGTGACAAAGAGGAGACGAGAGAGCTGCAGTGACGCGTCCTAAAACCCGGAAGTAAGCTGCGCTTGGCTTCCCTCGACAAAAAAGTAATGAGATTTCTCCATAGGATTTTAGAAAATAGCTCCAAATAAGATCTGTGGGAAACGTACCTGTTAGATAAATGCACGTTTTGTTCAGCCGGATAATATCCACATGTCTACTCTACTTTTATAATTTTCAAATCATAAATCTATCGATTAGATTTATGATAGACTTTTGAAACTACAAGAAGATAAGGAGGACTTTTACAAAAAAGTAAGAGATTTTTGTCCAGAAGGATAGGAAAATGGACTTCATCTTCAAGTCAAGGTAAGACTGTAATTTTATTGAAAATGGGATCTTACTAAGAGAGAACAATTCAATATTTAAATGATAAAATTACATTTTTTGGGTATCCTTTTGTTGAACTGTCTGTTTAAAAGTAATCGAAGCATCAGACTAAAAAAGCTTTTGAAAATTATATTATATTTTGATTTAGGTCAAAATATAAATGTGTAAACCTGAAGAGTCAGTGCCAGTGCCTCACCAGCCATGAACCTCACTGCACGTCACTGTAGAAGATTATAGACATCTACGTTTTTTGTGCCCCACCACTTTTGTACATATAAAAACGCCAAAGGGGGTACCAAATCTATGCAGACTGCTGCAATAAGTACATTAATTAACTGTCTCGTCGATGTTTGTCTAAATTAATATGATACTAGTATTAACAATCATATTATTCCTATCAGCTGTCAATCACTTTTATGATTCACATATTCAGTGTTATTATTAAATAAACTATATTTTTTGGAGGAGTTAATGATGAATGTTCCTCAAGATGCTTGCTCACCCTCCTTCAAATTTGAAAGACAAGTAATTACTATCATATATCAAAAGAATCAAAGGAACAGTTCAGCGCCCCACGACTTCATTGCAAACAGTTACAACCTTGACTTTACATCAGAAAGAACAAACATTAAAGAAGTGACTAACTGCATCTGTTAGGGTTAAAAAACGTGTATTCAGCTAAAACATATACATCGCTGCATTAAGTTATTATCCAGTGGAATGCCCTTACCTACTGGCCAAGTTAAATCAAAGTGGTTACTTTTTTTTGGCTGGGCAGTGAAGTTTTACACACCGTCTTATTTTACTTTATCAGGACTTGAAACTGTTTTTTGGGGGCAGACCCCCTCAAAGAAAAAAATATATACACACATAAGGTCATCATCTTAACAGTTTATTATGCTCATCGAGTCATCCGTGAGCAGAGCATCAAGTTGGCATGCCTATAACAGCTGAATGCGGAGATTACCATCTTGTTCAGCAAAACGCCTCACGAACGTATTAAAGACCCAAAGCTTTAGTGCGTTTTGATTCAATGCTGAGTACAGCCAAACTTGACAGTCTCTTCTCTGTCATTGTAGACCTCAAATACCTCATTCCTTCCGTCTACTTGGATCCGAAATGCTTCTCGTTTTGCGCTGTCCCCCCGTTCAAATGAAATCGCCGCCAATCATATTTCCACGCTCGCTCCAGGGCCGGGGGAGGGGTTACAAGGCTCGCGTCTTGTGCTGCATTCAATTGCACTCGGACATTAGAGATTTTCTCTCATAAATGTCCGATGAGCCACAACTTTTCTTTCAAAACAAAGCTGCCAACTGGGGTGGCAACTAGGGTGGCAAGGCATTTTTCTGAGGTGGCAGCTGCCACCCCGTGCCACCCCGTAGAACCGCCACTGGCCGCACTGTGAATGAAGTAAATATATAAGTTGTCATCAGGGTTGGGTTGTAACAGAATACATGTAACGGCGTTACGTAATCAGCAGTGACGTGCGGTGAGGTTCATGGCTGGTGAGGCACTGACTCTTTCAGAGTCAGATTTACAAATATTATATTTTGACCTTAATCGAAATATTCGGTTATTTTCAAAAGCTTTTTTAGTCTGATGCTTCGATTCATTTTAAACAGACCGTTCAACAAAAGGATACCCAAAATCTAAATATTGGATTGTTCTTTCTTAGTAAGATGATCCCATTTTCATTACAAATGTGGTCTTACCTTGACTTGAAGATGAAGTCCATGCTATCCTTCTGGACAACAATCTCTATTACTTTTTTGTAAAAGTCCTCCTTATCTTCCTCTAGTTTCAAAACTAAAGTCTAGTTTGTTGTTTGCGTCTACCGTCTCTGCGTAGAATAACAGTAGCAACAAGAACCTGTGGGCTCACGTGCGCCCCCTTCAGTGCGGCAGAGGTTATGGCTGCCTCCCCTGGTGCTTTTTTCATTGCCGTTGTATGATGAGACCAGCGAGCCTAAATATCATATACGTGAAATAAGTTATTTAGAGACTATGGATGGCGAGGATCAATGTAATAAAGGGATCTACAAACATTACATTGGTGACATACAGTGAGATGGTAACAGGCACGCGCTTAGGGCCCACTTTCCAGACAGTTTCTGTGGGGTGACGCATTCTGTAAGCAAATGAGCCTGGCTTGAGCACGCTCACAAAATAAGTGCCCGCGCTACATTAGTGCCCGCGCTCCAGCAAGTTACTGTGGGTTTACGAGAGGCAGAGCTCGTCCCTGCCTCACTCCTCATCGCTCCCATGTAGTTGTAGCGGAGCTCGGCCAATTTGCTGATTTTGACTATAAAAAGCGATTGGAATCATACAGAAATCACACTTACAACACAGATCAGTGGAGACATTTTATTATTATTACTATTTAGTTTTTCTTTAGTTGTTTTTCTGTTACATTGGAGTATGACAGGTGAGGCTCCGCCTCCCCTGACTGCACGTCGCTGGTAATCAGAATACAAAAATCAAGTAACTGTATTCAGCTCGCGTTACATTTGAAAAACCAGTAATCTGATTACAGTTACTTTCGTAAACCTGAAGTGAATACATTTTGGATTACTTATTGGAATTATTGGTGGAAAGGTTTCCTCACAACATTTAATATTCATTACTAAAGGTACAGCCGAATCATCACAGCGCACAAAACCTATTACCGCCGCAGATGGACCAAAAAAGGGAGCGTTTGAAAAAAATGTGCGGGTCCGCTCAGTGAAACAATAACAACGAAACATGGAGGAACAAAAGTCTGCGTTTAAATCGTGTGTGTGTGTGTGTGTAGAGGTGTGTGTGGTTAAAACACATCAGCCTGCGGTCGCTCTTTAGCCTTTCTAATGATTCTGAAGGTAAGCACAGTGAAGGCGGTGCGTGAAAGGCACTGCGCGCTCCTCTTCTCAGAGACTGAGTTAACCCTCCCGCTGCCTCCTGGTGCTGCAGAGGTTTCATGAAGTGAAAGAGGTTTTCCTTCTACAAAACAGCTGTGGGCAGCAGATACTGTGAGTGTCACGGACATGAATTCATAGATCAAGGCAGACTGGTGCACACACTCTGCTGTTTTTGCCAATCCGGTGCTTAAACAAATATAGCTCTACACCCCTGGCCCGAAATGTCCTTAAAATGAAGTCTGAGTTCGACATTTTAATTCATGTCCTGCCAACACTGGCAGGACAGAAGGCGACACGCCCGTTCTAAGCCGTGTCCCTCACTCCTCACATCCCAAGCTGCATCCCCAAAAAGTGTATTATGTTGTTACATCGTTTCAGATGTTATGTTTCAGTTGTGCTCTTGATAAACCATTAAAACAGTAAAAACACATTCAGTTTCCTTTTGCTTTTTGTGTCTCCTGTACACCAAAACATACCCATCTGTGATGGAAAAAGAAAGTAATCCAAAAGTAATCTAAAAGTAATCTGAATACGTTACTTTTTTAAGACACGTAACTGTAACTGTATTCGGATTACTTTCAGAGCCATGTATTCAGTAATCAGTAACTGATTACATTTACAAAGTAACCCTCCCAACCCTGGTCGTCATGAACACATCTGTCCATCAGACAGAGTGTTGCTGTGCCTCCTGTCATCATTAATGGACGTCTCTTTAAAATGACTGCTCAGAGGAGAGGAGTTCTCATTTCTCTAACCGCCTGCGGAGGAGTCCCCTCCTCGACTCCTCCGCTCGCATCTCCTGTGGGCGGGACTAAGACACGAGGAGACACGAGGAGTCGAGGAGGGGAGTCGAGGAGGGGAATCGAGGAGGGGAGTCGAGGAGGGGAATTAGAGAAATGAGAAAGGGCCATGCTCGAGCGGGTGAGGCGGAAGTGGAAACTTGTCTTCCGGTCCCATCCTCCTCACCGTCGCTCGATACAGCTAGACCGACTGCAGCTGGTAGGATGAAACTCTGCGTTTCAACTTTTTCCCTTTCACCCTAATGTCGTTTACACTTTCTGGGATGTTTGTAGTCTGTTCACGCGCATTGTGTGTCATATGAATCCGCGTGCACAATGCTCTCGGGCTCAGCTCTGCCTTTCTTCCATCTGAAGCGGAATTGTTCTGCAAACATGGGATAACTTTCGTCCTGGTGCACTATTCATTACCTTGCATGTAACGTTAGAAGGTTGCTACGATACTTCTACTGTATGCACTGTTTAATCATGTCAGAGCTCTTCTTAATGAATTGTTTTACTTTAAGATTATGTTTTTGAGTCGATTATAACTTGGTTAACCTCCACAGGTGCTACTAAGGCCCGTTAGACCGACAAGCCTCAACAGTTAGCCCCTCAGGACAGCAATGGACCACAGAGGAGCCGGTGAGGGGCCAGGCAGAAGACCCTCCAGTCCCTCCTCTGGGGCACCCATGGGTGCCAAGGGACAAGCAGCACTGAGTGTTCAAAAGCCCAGGGTAAAGATCACTCCCTTCCATGGCTCCCCCATAGCCAGCAGTGAAGGAGCCCTCCGCAGCACCCGGCCCGCAGCCTCTGCTCATGGAAGCCTGTTTCTGGACACACTTGGTCGGCTGACTGCCCCTCCTGTCAGAGGGAGAGCTGCTGCTGGGAGCTCAGAGGAACCCCCCCCCAGTTCAGGCTCTGCACCGGCCCCCACAGGAGTAAAGCTCCAGGCAAGTCCTCTGATGTTCCAGCTGCATATAAGCTGTGAGGGTTGTAAAGCAATAACATTGCATATGTTTCCACACTCTGCCTATTCTTTTAAATCCATCCCCAAGTTTGTGACTTGTGCATTTAACCGCAAAGTTCTCAGTAGCAAAGTGCATTAGCATTTAAGAGATATTGTAAATGATAACATGTTGTTATCACACACATTTGTAATGAGTGTATACCAGTTATGTGTGCGTGTTTCAATTGACTTTGTTCATTAATTACTGCACTACTTTGTGTTCAACATTTTAATTTTATTCCAGAAGTTCTACATCAAAATGTTTGCTTTCTACATTGTCATATTCATCTGAATGCACAGATTGCAGAAAGGCTGAAATTGACAATGAGATTGAAATCATACTTCTGGGTTATATTGTATTTTATTATACATTTACTGAATTATTATGTGAATGTATTCAACTTGAATGTTTAGATGTCAAATACTCTTATTACTAAAATCTTCATTAGTGTACAGAACAAACAATTACTGTAACACTGTGGACTGTTCATACCGGTCTAATATTAAAATGATTAATGTTGTCCATATGTTGTACCAATGCCTCACGTATGACATATTGTCTTCTCCTTTCTCTTTTATTGCATTTAGAATAAATATGTTTTTGCCCTTTTAAAGACTGCTGGCAAGAAGGCAGTGAAGTCAAGCACCAAGCTTTGTCCCAGCCACAAAGGAAAGGAGAGGAGAGCTGTCTCCAGCAAACCTCCGTCCGGTGAGTTGATCCTTCCCTTTGCAAACTTGATTGAACTCAACCTATATTCAGAAAATATACCTAAAGAGTTGCTAGAAAATTGCAAGACTAACGTTTGGATGACTGTTAGGGGCAGCCCTAGTTAGCTGTACTCAAATGTTGTTATTTGTGATCATCTTACTGTGTTTAATAACAACTTTTTCAGCATTAGTCATGTGTTTAACTGGAAAAGTGGGCATTGATGTAATATGTTGTCTCCAGGGTGACAGGACCTTTCAGACTGATGTTCCTACTGATGACTTCTGACTACATAACCTAACCTTTGTTCTTATCCTAGCTGTGAAGAGGAGGAAAAGGAAGATGGGAATGTACAACCTAGTCCCCAAGAAGAAGGCCAAGGCCATTAAACAGCAGGAGAAGGTAGGTCCATGTATCTATTTATTTATTTGTCATTCAGTCATTTATTCCTATCTTTTAGCCCACTGGGGTTATGTTGTTGTATGTTCCCAGGAGTGTACCCAGTAGCAAGTAAATACCATGCAAGCAATATGCTGTTTGTCATGTTGAAATAAATACCAATACCTACAAATGTCATTCCTTTCTTCATCAGAAGGAGGAGCCAGGACCCAGTGTGCAGCAGAACAGAGCTGCAGCTGAGGAGAAGCCAGTGATGCTCACAGAGACTCTGCAGCCCCTCAGGAGTGAACTGTTGATGGAGGGGGACCCTGGAGAAGGAGAATACACAGAGCTGGCTCTGGAGTGTCTGGATCTGAAAGCTCAGGAAGAGCTGCTCTCTCCTCCCCTGTCAGGTGACAACACATTTATCATGTCCCCTTTTTCTTTTATAGACATGTTTTTACATGTCATTTAGTGACAATCTAACAAAGAATGGCACCTGTGGGAATGGGAAGACATGTCCGGCATGTGGTGTTGCAAAGGATGAGCTCCTCCAGGATATGCATTTGACACACCCAATTTACATATCCAAAACTTAACCTACAAAGGCACGATTATAAATGTCTATTTCTCAGTTCCTTATTCCCCCAACTGTTCCCCAGTGTCTCCACTTTGTGTGCTATGTCACCACTGTGATTACACACGTGCTACAAACTTCACATGCCTGTACATTAACACACACAAACAAATGGCATACATAAAAAAAAAAATGGCTTCTGGTCATACAGGTCAATTCCTTGGTTTGATGTGTGTGTGTGTGTGTGTGTGTGTGTGTGTGTGTGTGTGTGTGTGTGTGTGTGTGTGTGTGTGTGTGTGTGTGTGTGTGTGTGTGTGTGTGTGTGTGTGTGTGTGTGTGTGTGTGTGTGTGTGTGTGTGTGTGTGTGTGTGTGTGTGTGTGTGTGTGTGTGTGTGTGTGTGTGTGTGTGTGTGTGTGTGTGTGTGTGTGTGTGTGTGTGTGTGTGTGTGTGTGTGTGTGTGTGTGTGTGTGTGTGTGTGTGTGTGTGTGTGTGTGTGTGTGTGTGTGTGTGTGTGTGTGTGTGTGTGTGTGTGTGTAGATGCTAAGGTGACAGAATCAGACCTGTTGGAGGAGCTGCCGCTGTGCTGCTGTCGGATGGAGACTCCTTACAGCGGAGGCAGCCTGTCCACCATTGAGCAGACCTGCATGGCCATGGAGAGCATGGATGGAATGGTAAAAATCATCTGAATTAAAACACTTTAGCATTGACCTATTATTACAAATCAGTTTTAAAACATCAGATAAAATCCCACCCAGTAAACAGTTCTTAACCAGAGAAAGGTGTGATATTTGACTGCTGTTTTAGCTGGTTCACCTTCCCCTAAAATAATGGATTAAAACTACAAGGCCACCCCCAAGGCTGTTTTTCACAAATGAACAACGAACCAATTTGGATCCAACATTTAATGGGTTTTTCCTTGGCCAATGCTACACCCATTCAACAAGTTTGATGAAAATCCACCCAGTAGTTTTTCTGCAATCCTGCTGTCAACGTGTTGTCTTCACTTCTTTGTGAACAAAATCACTTTTTATTACAGTTTAGACATTGACCTAAACATTTTCACACTACATCACTGAAGGCCACCCTGAACTAAAAGCAGCCGATGATAGATCTAAATGTTATTTAGTGTGCAAAATGAATCCTTTTATGGGTGGTTTCTATGGAACAGATTTAGTGTCCCATGAATCCAGACTTCAAACAGTGAAAACCTGTAGGATATGATCCAACCAAAAATGATATAACAGCTGTTGCTTGCTAAGGTTGTTATGGGTCTAAAAGCACCAACACATTGTAAACCTGTTTTTAAATGTGGTACAGTATAAGATATTTTTGGTACCTCTGCTCTCAACAGCTGAGCCGTTGCCAGAGGCGAGTGATGAAGCAGGAAATGATGCGCCCCTCTAACACGGTCCATCTGCTGGTTCTGTGTGAGGAGCACCGGGCCGGCATGGTGAAGCACCACTGCTGCCCCGGCTGTGGGCTCTTCTGCCGGGCGGTGAGGGAACACGCTCACTCATCTTTCAACACGTATTTGCCTCTATTTAAAGATGTTTTATTTCTATTCCTTGGAACTTTTTTTCCATTTCCAACTCACGTCATATTCCTTATCTCCTTTTTATTTAAAGTGCACCTATCATGCTATTTTTAGGCAATAGCATAGGTCTCAGATATATACAAATATATAAAAAACATGTCTATGAAGTGTTTTGCAAAAAATTCCAAACAGGTCACCCATTCTAGCCATGCCTCATATCCTTATATTTCACTTCCTGTTTCAAAAGTGCTGATTGGGGGTATAAAGCTTTAAAAAAATTGATAAAAAAAAAGGAGGGGGCTGAGCTCATGCAGGAGAATCTACCGGCAGCTACTGTCTAAACTAAATACTGCGGTGATGAAACGCCATATCATGGATTATCAAGGATTATTTCTGAAATAGTATGGAGCTCAAAGGCTTTCTCTCTTGCCGGTTATACTGTATAACCGGCAAGAGAGAAAGCCTTTGAGCTCCATACGCAGTCTTCAAAGTAACCAAGCAACCTAAATTAATTTGTTAATTTGTCTGGCAGCAGCAAGTTCGGCAGCATAGAGAGGCGAAGTCCCTCCCTTTCCGGGGGAGCTCCATGGGACCTTATTTCGGAAAAAGTATGTATTGAAGTCAATGGGGAGAGAAAGATTATCTTTCGATTCCGTTTGAATTGTGCCACGAATTACACATATGATGTTTGTCAATTTAAAAGATAAGTTTGCAAGTCAAAGAAATGTAAATGTGTCGTAAAACTGTGAAGTAACACTTTTTTTTGTGTGAAACCGCTCAATGAACTACATCTCCCGTCTCGCACCACACACCAAGACGGCCGTCACGTTGGCACATTTCACTTCTTTCTTTCAGAATGAGGCGAAAAGTATTAAACGAGTTGAAAATCACTACAAGTCTGGGCATGTTGAGAGCTGTACAGACACACAAGGGGAGTGAGTCGGTTCCGTAAGAGCCAGCATGCGGGACCGGGATTCTGGGATTTGTAGTCTTTCTAGTTGCGTATTTTTCATAGTCTTATATTTCAACAGTTTTACGACAAACTGTGACTTTTTTGACATGGAAATTATTTTTTAAGATTGACAAACATCACATGTGTAATTCGTGGCACAATTCAAACGGGATCGAAAGATACGTTTTTTCTCCCCATTGACTTCAATACATAATCTTTCCGAAATAAGGTCCCATGGGTCGGAAGTAGATGGGCGGGACTTCGCCTCTCTATACAAAATTGAATAGCCTGCATTTATGTACAGCAAACCAAAGGACAAGAGCGGCTCTCAAAGAGAAAGGACAAGAGAGAACAAGGAGATGTAACGACTAAACTTACGAAATTAGACTGTTTTTTTTGTCATACATCGTCCTCGAAATCTCGATTAATTCTGTAAAGTGATTGTGTGATTAGTTCGCTGTGCCATTGTCAGGCTGTGGTGGTATGAGGCCAGGGCAGGCTGTTGTTGATAGCCTACATGTGGCGCTTGTGTGTGTCCGTGCGTGTGTGAGCACATCAGCGTGCGCTTATGTTTGGGGCGATGAATTATAGTATTCAAATGTATATAACATTTGAATACTATAAACTGTATATCATAATGTATATTATATTCTTTGATGTGGTGCTTCGTAACCTTGATGCAGCGTTTTCCTGCTCCGTCCTCCAGGGCACCTTCATGGAGTGCAGGCCGTACGGCAGCATCTCCCACCGTTTCCACCGTGACTGTGCCTCCATCCTGAAGGACCTCAGGTTCTGCCCCCACTGCGGAGAGGATGCCAGCGGTGCCAAGGAGGTCACCGTGCTGAAGGCTGATCCGGTTCCCTCTGTACCCAGATCCAAACCCGGGCCGTCACTCCCAGCTGTTCCAAATATGGCCGCCCTGCCATCAGTACCAACCACGCCTGCTGTTCCACGCATACTCAGAGCTAAGAAGAGCAGCGAGCCACAGAGGAGCCGAGACCAGAGCCCGGGCAGGTAACGGCACTCTTAGAAAATCCAATTCCTTCGCCAAGATCAATAAACTCGCAAATATTAAGGCTCATCTTAGTTAGTGCGAATGCTATTTAGTGCGAATACTGTGCCACAGCATTCCACTATAGTACTTCAATTCTTTATTCTTTCCGCTTAAAATTATTTCAGCCAATACTTTGGCTCTCCATAACTTCAGCTTATTTTCAGCTACAGAAACCATTCAAATATTAAACTATTCAGCCTGTTCAGGAATCGATGGGAAACCTTCAACTTTTTAAAAATATTTTATACTTTTTGAAATATTCAGCTTTTTAAACTCTTTTTTTAACATTGAAGTCAATGGGAGATGCCTTCAAATCCTCTTTTCCCACACTTTGCGCCAAATGCTTCTCCTTCCACATAATTTCAGCTAGACACTTCATTCCAACTTTCAAATGACCACAACACCTTCAGCTATAAAACTTGTTATTCGGATTCTTCATATCTTTTACCCTTCTTGAGATATTTAACTTAGTTTGGAGCTTGGTAGAGAGGCCTTTTTCAGATTTTAACATTAGTGTGGATGGAGCAGCTCGTTAAGTCTTAGAGTGCTTTGATCTCAAAACAGAGTGGAGGACAGCTTGAAATTCGCCCAAAAAAACGTTTTAAACCTGCCCTAATTCCCAAACCCTACACTCCTGGGACATAATTTTATGCTTGAATTGTAGGAAAACCTCTCTTAGGTTGAAGAATAAAACAACAAAATGCCTCTTGAGGGCATGAAGTGACAAAAACCTTCAACATGTCTCCATTAAGGCCAATTGTAAATGCAGCGTCATCTTTCATCACAGCACCAGCTGCACACCTTTAGTTAATCTGCCAAGAATGCCACATTATTGACCCGAAAGTACACGAAAAGCACACTTCAGACGCTCGTCAGGATCCTGAGACGCTTCGCACGTTGACATTTCACCGATATCTGTTACGGTTCTTCAACAAAACGTTCAAATGTAAGAGGTTTATCTCTCATTCAGATCAATGGAAAGAATGTCCTCTCACTGATTACTGCACATCACCATGGACACCTTTGATCTCTGGGCTCACACAGGTGTTATGATTATTTGTTATGGTTAGGTGCTCAGCACAGAAACAAACACTGTCAAACAGACTGGACTTTAACAGACTGTCTCAGCCTATTCTTTTCTGTCTGATGGAGACTTCATACTGACTTCAACATGTTCCACATAATTGCTACATTATTGGTGACATTTGGTTTTAGTAGAAAAGTTTGCAGTCAAAATATTCTGCTGCTTTCCCAAGCCTTTTTACTTTCTTTTCTCTTCTTAATACACATTCATTCACTAATAATAATAATAATTCATTTATTTTATATCGGCGCCTTTCAAGGCTCTCAAGGTCGCTGTACAAACACACAAAAAACAAGATACACAATAGATAACACCAGCATAAGAAACATAAACAAGACAATGCAGTATATAAATCAATCAAATAACCAAATCAATAAAAACAGAGGATGTGTGATGGATAATGATCAGGGTGGATATGCGAGTGTGAAGAGATGTGTTTTGAGGCGTGATTTGAAAATGGGGGGAGAGTCAGTATTGCGGATGTCAGATGGGAGGGAGTTCCAGAGGCGGGGTGCAGAGCGGCTGAAGGCTCTGGACCCCATGGTGGTTAAAGGGAAGGGGGGTGCAGTGAGGTGGAGGGAAGCAGAAGACCTGAGAGTGTGGATGGGTGTGTTGATGTGCAGGAGGTCGGAGAGGTACAGAGGAGTGAGGTTATGGATGGCCTTAAAGGCGAGGAGCAGAATCTTAAAAACTATACGGGATTTGACGGGGAGCCAGTGAAGCTGCTGAAGAACAGGAGTGATGTGGTTAATGGAGGGGGTTCTGGTGATGATGCACTACTACTTACATCTGATATCTAACTCCTTCAGCCTACTTTCAGCTACAGAAACCATTCAACTATTACATTATTCAGCTATTTCAGGACATTGAGGCTATACATATTGTTGTTTATACCTTTTGTAAACCTTTTCTTTTAAATATTAAGCTTCTTCACTATTATTCCTACTCTTCCAGTTTAACATTTCACTTTCAAGTTTTCAACAAAGTCATTGCAATGCATTTGAGCTGTAACAATTTGATTCAAATCATTTATCTTTTCTGCATTTCTCTGCTAAGTTCAGCAACACACTGACTTGGTCTCTGTAGTTAAAAGCAGCTACCATTCAGCTAATAACATATTCAGCTTTTTCTACATTTTCAGCTAAATTCAGCAACAAATGTTCACAGTTTACAGCATTCGCACGCATTTTCTCCAGGAAATGCATTTTCTGCAGGAAATGCATTTTCTAGTTGATTACAGCTGTCCTGCTGGCTGTCTCTCCAGGTCAAAGGGCGAGGCTGTGTATGCCACAGACAGAATACCCAAAGAGTCACTGGAGAGCATCCTGACGGCGCTGGATGATGACAAGTAAGGTTAACCATGTGATTTTTTTGCAGCAGTTTGCCCCTTGATGAAAGTCCTTGGTTGATACATTTTCATATTTTTTAGCCTGAAACCAAAGAAGGTGAAGTACCCCACCAGACAGCTGTACATCTCTGCTAAACAAGGAGAGCTCCAGAAGGTCATCCAGCTGCTAGGTAACTGTTACTTGACATAAAGCAGCATCTCATAAAATAGCTCAATATATGTTTTTTATAATTTCTATTATTACACTGACAAACCAACCATTTTAAATTGTAGTTGATGGGAAGGACCCCAACTTTTTGATGGAGGGCCCAAACAGAGTGACCCCTCTTCATGCAGCAGCTGCTGAGGGGCACCAGGAGATCTGCCACATGCTGGTCCAGGTGAGGAGGGTCTTCACCACAGGCTGCCCCTCAGGGCCTGTGTTCACAAAGATGCATCAAAGCAGAACACCAGACTTCTCTAGATCTATCTTTCAGGTTTTGGGAATTTAGGCCAGGCGTTTATATTGACAACATTAAATTACATAGACATTTTGATATTATTATCAAAAATACTACATTTGTTATGTGCAGTAAAGACATGGGTAACAAAGTATTAATTTAGTGAGAATGCTGATACAGCATTCCAACTACTTGTTCTCCTCCCACATTCCACATCGCAGAAACTCTGTTCAAACATCAAAACGTTCAGCTCGGTCGAGAATCGATGGCTATTACTTTTCTCATTCATAACTTTCATAACTCCAGAGATACATCCCATAATTCATCACATTTTTAACATGAAAGTCAATGGAGAAACTCTTCAGACTTGAACAATCTTCATGCAACTTCAACTGCTAACTGTTCATTCATACTTTCACTCAGAAACCTCATTCCAACTTTAAAATGTTACACATCTTTCTAACATTATTCATGTTAAACAACTTTTAAATCAGATTCAAACTTTTTGAAATATTAAACATTGTTCAGACCTTGGTAAAGAGGCCTTCTTCAGATTTTAACATTAGTGTGTATTGCGCAGCTCGTTAAGGTGTGTGATCTCACAGCTAGAGTGGAGGACAGCTTGAGATTCGCCTTCATATTATTTTTTAAACCTGCCATATTTCACAAACCATACACTCCTGAGACATAATTTTTCATGAGAAACGTAGGAAAACATCTCGTAGCTTGAAACATTTTAATAAATTAAGCAAAACAATTAAACATGTGTAATGTAAACATTAAAGCCAATTGTACATTCAAATTCTCTCCTCTCTCTGATTACTGCACATCACCATGGAAACCTTTAATCTCTGGACACACACACAGCTGTTTCATAACTTCATTAGCTCAAATATAAACACCTGTGTCATGGAACACGATGATGTCATAACTCCAACTGACATGCTCAGAGCAGCAGACTTCAGATAATGGTTAACACAGCTCTACATCAAATCTGATGTTACGTAATGTGGCATTACTATGGCAACGCATCCCCCGTCATAAAACAGCACCAGACTTCAGATAATGGTTAATGGTCCGGCCCTCAACAGCTCTATGTCAATTATGGGGTGTCATCATATGCCGTTTCCCTCGCCATGAAACACGATGTCGCTGTAACTCCAATGGACACGGTCCGATCGTCCCCAAACTTCGCTTGTATATCACCGGTCCATGCCTCCCTCAACAGCTCTACGCCAAATCTGAGATCTCACCATAGGCTGTTGCCATGGAAACGCATCCCTCGCCATAAAACACGATGTTGTCGTGATACCTATGCAAATGGTCTAAAACAGCACCAGACTTCAGATAATGGTTAATGGTCCGGCCCTCAACAGCTCTATCAATTATGGGGTGTCATCATATGCCATTTCCATGGAAACGCATCCCTCGCCATGAAACACGATGTTGCTGTAACTCCAATGGACACGGTCCGATCGTCCCCAAACGTTGCTTGTATATCACCGGTCCATGCCTCAACAGCTCTACGTCAATTATAGGGTTTCATCATATGCCGTTTTCATGGAAACGCATCCCTCGCCATAAAACACAATGTTGTCGTAACTCCTATGAAAATGGTAAAAACAGCACCAGACTTCAGATGATGGTTAATGGTCCAGCCCTCAACATGTTTATGTGCCATTAGTGAGTTTTCCTCAAAAGCTGTTGCCATAGCAACGCATCCCTCGCCGTAAAACACGATATTGCTATAACTCCTATGAAAATTGTCAAAAAGTGCTCAAACTTCACACGTGTGCTAACAGTCCAGCCGTGAAGACATCTACGTGACAATTTTGAGATTTCTTCAAATGCCGTTGTCATGGCAACACAATGCTTTCCATGAAACACGGTTTTCTCATAACTTCAGTGAAAATGCTCCAAACGACCCAAAACTTCACAGGTTTGGTAACGATGCAGCCATCAACACATCTAAGCGTATTATGGGGTGTCATCAAGTACCGTTGCCATGGCGACAGATCATTCACCATCAAGTTAGTTCAAAAGTTTGCAGTTCAAATATTCTGCTGCTTTTCCAAGCCTTTTTACTTTCTTTTCTTCTCTTATCACACATTCAAGCCCCCAGTGTTCATGTATCATTTCAATCTAAATTCTTCACTTTCATCTTACACATTATATTTCAGCATAGCAGTTTAGCGTCAGCTTTTCATCATAAAGCATTCCCACTAGCAATTTCTTCAGGAATTGCATTCTCTAGTTATAATTATGTTGCTGCAATGCTAGAAGGGAGACATATCTTTTATGAAGAAACTAATGTCTCACATAGTTCCGGGCAATTTTGGCCCCTTCTCAGTGGCTTTCTTTACATTTTGATTCATCTGGAATCAATTTACCAATTTACTTAAAACATATTAAAGTAATTTATATTTTAGCATGAATAACCTTTAAGGCTTGGTCAGTGATTGTCAGAATGATGCAGAAAATACAGGTACACGTTTTACCTTTGGAGATAGTCTCCCTTAAAGGAGAGGTGTCATGGCCATTTCCACTGATCATAATTCCATTGTTGAGGTATTCTAAAATAGATTTATACTGTGCATTTTTCCAAACTCACATTGGTTTCTCATACAGCATCTCTGTAAACTACGTGTATTCACTGAATTTCAATATCTGCCTTTAACGGCTCATTGGAGCTCCAAAAGCTCCAGCCCCCACCCTCCCTGTGAGCACAGTGTGCTCTGATTGGTCGGGACGTTGTGAATCGCGCTGAGCTCCGTGGAGGTGTTGTTTCCTTGTTTAGCGATACACAGCGAAACACAGCCAAACTCATCCTGAGCACACACAAACTCACAGCCAAAGTAAAAACAATAAGTGTGGCTTGATATTGAGTAAGAAAAAGGTTGATAAACGCTGTGAGAATGGGTCTGCAGAGAGAATTTCGCCGCGATCCCAACTGTCTGTTATCAGCCTGCAGCCAGGGAGGAGAAATCAGCTGAGCTGCCTGCTCCCTGCACACATATGTGTGTGTGAGGAAGTCCGTGGATTGGTCTATTTGGACCAATCAGCGGGGGCTTAACGTAACGGCTCCGCGGACGTAACGTAACGGCTCCACGGATTGGTCCATTTCGTTCCGGGTACGGGTTGACATCATGCCGTACCCGGAAGAATCAAATGGACAATGACGTATCTCCAAGGAGGCGTTTTGGGGAGGTATTTTCTGTGTTAGAGTTTTACTCGCTACAGGGTGTACTTTGAGGGTTTTGACTCTGCACACCGTTTACATGCATAAAAACCTTCATAACACACAAGGGGACGGGTAATAACCGGAAAAGCACGACACCTCTCCTTTAAATTCAAATTACAGCCTGATGGTGATTTTTTTCAAAGGTCGGTCATTATATCCAAATACATCTTTCAGGAGTAAAATTAACTAAATACGTTTTCGAATCAGATAGTAAAAATTCCATAAGTGTTTGTGTCTGTGTGCACACAAAGGCGGGAGCCAACCTGGACATGTGTGACGAGGAGCAGAGGACCCCATTGATGGCCGCCTGTGAGAACAACCATCTGGACACGGTGAAGTACCTGCTGAGAGCCGGAGCCGCTGTCAGCCACAAGGTAGCAGCATCTCTCAGGGCTACAGCTGATGTGTGCTCATGTCAAACTCTGCTTCTTCATTAGTCATTCAATCCAATCCATAACTGTCAACTGCTGCCATTGCTCAGGCCCTTTGTACGACCAAACACGTCAACCTTGTTGACACAAGTGCACAAATGGACCTATGATTGATTACAGCCACTTTAAATATCACTTAGTGGACTGACTATAGTCAGCTGATGGTCTTAAAACCAGTACATTTTATGAACCTATACGGCTCAGCAGAGAGACGATTCGTCACTGACACATCTGAACTGTTGGACACATTTCCCTTCATCATGTCTGTTTTAATGTCTAGTTTTAAACATTTTTGCGTTTAACTTTATGTGCAGTAGCCAATGAAATGCACTATATTCTGGACTACACAGTAGTGGCAGCAGCTCAGTGTTGTTCAATGTGAATCATGTTGTAATCTCAGGATATCATGGGTTTCACCTGTCTGCATCTGGCAGCTAAACTGGGACATCATGACATAATCCATCATCTGCTCTCCAAGGCATCCAAATACATCAACTGTCAGGTAACACATGCACTGCCTCATTGGCTAACGGCAGCTAGCAGCTAATTTTGTAAAGTGTAAAGCACAAGTCTTACAGCCTGTTGTGTGCAGGATGATGGGGGCTGGACTCCCATCACCTGGGCCATCGAGCACAAGCACAGGGAGCTGGTCCACCTGCTGCTGGCCAGAGGGGCCGACGTGAACATCAGGGACAAGGTCAGTACCCACCCTCAACGATCACGCTTACTCCATACAGCTGCAGCTCTTACAGATCCACTCTCTGAACTAACTGAAATGTAGGTACGCTAGAAATAAAAATACGCAAGCTTTGGTCTCTTTATGTAATATCTGATGATGTTTCTTTCTTTTTCTGCAAATGATCACATCTTATGAATGTGTAACCCCCATGAATAGGTGGCATTCAAGTTGAAACATGCTATTTTGAATACGTTTGTGCAGTTAAAAGATAATTATGATTCTGAAATAGAGCACTCTCTCTTTAACAAGATGTTTAATGGTTTTCTGGTGTCTCTGTGAGGCTGTAGGCTACAGCGGTACGTTGAGCTAAATGCTAATGTCAGCATGCTAACAAAAGCACAATGACAATGCTAATAGGCAGGTGGAATGTTTACATTGTTAACCATAAGAGCGGCTGAGGCATTTTGACCCAATGATGATCTGAGATCACATTTATTCTGAAAACGATGTCACCCTTATGGTGGCGCCAGAGGAAAGTCAGGAAAACCACATTAACAATTAGACCAAAGAATGTTCTACAAACAGTGCGGCACATTTAGTCGTCACATTAATAATGATGAATGAATGAGGCTTCAGGTGATTGTAAAGCCCTGTCCAACACATGTGTGTGCTCAGGAGGAGAACGTGTGTGTGCACTGGGCCGCTCTCTCGGGCTGTGACGACCTGGCCCAGGCTCTGCTGGAGGCCCGCTGCGACCTCAGCGCCGTCAACGTTCACGGGGACTCCGCGCTCCATGTGGCTGCCAGAGAGAACCACCTGGAGTGTGTCATGTGAGTTTGTGTGGATATGAGTGCAAAGTTTGTTTGTGTTACACACCTTTATCAAATTCAGGACAACAGATTTTTACAGTATTTCTCATTTTCGATGGATCAATTCTTGAACGAGTATATTTTTGAGTGTTAGGTTCAAATCTCTCAACAATTATTTTAGTTTGAATCCTAATTCATTCTACGTGTTTTGGCACATGGTCATGCTGTGAAGTGTTAGCTACTGGCAAATGTTGTCCAGCTTTATCTGCAGATATCGATTTTAGCTTCAAAGCCCTCTCATTAGTTGATTGCGGTTGATAAGTTATATTACATCTTACATAACATTTTCAGACCTAGTCACTACCTTTAACATCCTCCGTCTACAGGTTGTTCCTGTCTCGTGGAGCGGACGTCACTCAGAGGAACAGGGAGGGGGGGACGGCTCTGGACTGCTGTATGTACGGCTCCAAGGTGTGGACGGCCCTTACCACCAACAAGAAGCTGACGGACGCCCGCAGGGGCAGGGACTGCCGCGGAGAGAGGGTGCTCAGCAGGTACTCAGCAGCACCGTGTGTGTGTAGGGTTATCTAGTGATTTTGTCAATATTTCATTTCTAATACTACATAGAACTGTTTATAATACATATTGCTGATGTCAGCTCCCATCTCCAGGCTATGGAACACTTTCTAAACATATTGGAAAAGTTAAAAACAAGGCTGTTTCTATTGTTCTATACTGTAATATGATGTTATATAATGTTGAATTATAAAATAAATATTCCAGACAGGTAATGTCTTAGTGTTTGATGAGTTATCTCAGGAAATTTAATTATTGCTGTTGAGAATTAAAACATTCATTTAAAATGTGTTTTTAAAAAAAACAAAAAAATCTCCCACCATCCAACTAACAACAACAACATCAAGCCTTTGGGCTCTGAAACTACGGAGCGGGGCCGAGGACAAATACACATGCGTTAATCGCACGTTAAAATAATTTGTGGCGTTAATTTGTTTTTTAAAAAAAAACACGCGTTATTAATGCGTTAACTTGACAGCCCTAAAAAAAACACTTTTTCCTTCTCTCAGGGACATTTCACGAGGGTATGAGGCAGTTCCTATTGCCTGTGTTAATAGTGTGGACAGCGAGCCGAGCCCGGAAAACTTTAAGTACATCCCTGACAGCTGTGTGACCTCCGCCCTGAACATAGACCGAGACATCACTCATCTACAGGTGAGCTCTAACTCTGTGTGTATTTAAGAATAAATCAGTAATATTCTATCTTTTTTTTATTGTCAAAACATCACAAGAGCAGATCCAAGTCAATACTAAATGTATCTCCTAACAGGTATTTTGTGTGTGTTTCAAAGCCTGATACATCTCCTTCCTCACTCAATGACATCAAAGGGCAACCCTGTTGCACTAGGTCACATTTTCCTCCATTACCAGTTACCATTAACACACACACTAGTTCCACAGATACTGTCCTGCTGCAGTAATACTCATTGGTGCATCACATGTAGATTCATCTGAATGTAGCCCCCAACAAGTAGTGTTTTCAGTGCCCAGCAGATTTAGCATTTTTTAAACAATGTATTTAAGAATAGTTTTTGAACATGTATTTGTCTTCAGTATCAACCACTGTGCTGAGAGCTACACACAGGCAGAGAGCTTTGAGAGACTCATCAAGACATGGCTTTGGTCTTATCATGGGATTTGTTGACAGTGAGAAAAATATGTAATAAAAGCAGTCTTGGTCACATTGACGTCAGACTGTTGCTGTGTGAGTGTTACCAGGTCTCCCGTGCGAGATCGCGAGAAGCCTTTTTTTAAATCCAGAGAGTTGATGGAATTAATGAAATTCACAAGCAGAAGAAACTGCTGTTCACCAAACATCCAATATCGGATTTAACTGTGCTGTCCAAGTGAAGTGAGAACAACACTGGCCGGCCTGCTGGTTCTATTTGTTATTTTCTTTTCACATGTCCAGGAAATGACTTCAAAAACAGTCTAGCAATGTAGAGAAAGAAAACAGCTAAATGTCATAATACCTGATAACTCACTGATGTCTGTCCTTCAGCACTGCAGCTGCACAGAAGACTGCTCCTCCAGCAGCTGCATGTGTGGGCAGCTCAGTCTGCGCTGCTGGTATGATGGAGTAAGTACACACACACACACACACACACACACACACACACACACACACACACACACACACACACACACACACACACACAGCTTTAATTGAAGTTTGATTTTATTTTAAAAGCACAGTGACACGTGTGTGTTCCTGGTAGCAGTGTGTAACATGTCTCCTGGTGTATTTGTAGGAGGGTCGACTACCCCTGGACTTCTGTCAGAGGGAGCCCCCCGTGCTGTTTGAGTGTAACCACGCCTGCTCCTGCTGGAGGAGCTGCAGGAACAGAGTGGTGCAGAACGGCCTGAGGTGACCTTCCTCTTCCTCACAGCTCAACATGGGCACACTACTCAAAGATTATTTGGTTGCATGATCATTATGTTAATGGTTAAAACAGGGGTGGGGAACCTCTATACGGACCGCGAGACCATTTGGTACGGCCCTCGAGGTAATTTATAAACACAAGCAAAAATTTAAGAAATCTAGACCGCAAAATAATTAAACAAGCGAGTGCCTGTTTTTCCTGGTCAAGGTCAGGATCCTTGAACACAACACAAGCCTAACGTGTTATCACGTGGTATATGTCTCATCTGACAGGGGTGCAGTTCTGACGGAGAGCACCAGAACGCCACTCCAACACTTCGGATAAGGAGCCGCAGTTTCTGCGTGGCTGTGTCTTTAGTTGAAAGCCCAGTGGCGATCTGTTCATCTGTCATACTGATCATACAGTCAATAACGTTGTTGTTATTAGCATCTGGTTAGCTAGCTATGCTAACGAATTGTTCTACAACCAGTGAGGTAAAGGCACATCTTTATATGATCATTATAGTTATAAAAAAATAAGAGAATAAAGTAAACAGGTATAAAATACTATATGACAGTAAAAAAAGTTGTTATTAATAAACAAGAATACAGTTTGAAAGGGGAGTGATTTGTAAAATATCCATAAAGAAAAAGAAAATCTGGTTACAGTTCTGTTTCATATGGGTGTTGAGAGATGTATCCATAGATCTCCTAATGTTGCTCTCAAAGTGCACCAGATTGATGATTTTAACTTCAACATTTAAAAATAAATCTTCCCGGGGGAGCATGCCCCCCGGACCCCCCTAGAGGAGGTTAGGTCCCCCCCCCACTTAAATCATGTTCACATGGATAGGAAACTAAATACATTTGCACACATCTTGTGTCCGTATCTTTCTGTTTTGGTGGTCATGCCACACCGTGCACGTGCATGCATACGCGAGTCATGGTAAGATATCTGCATTAAGAGGTTGCTTTTTCTTTGCACAGCATGAAAGAAAGGCCAAATGAATGGGCTGTGATTTTAGTATTTTTAAGCAGAGGTCAATCATTTGTACGGCCCTCGGAGGATGTTGAAAAAATTGAAATGGCCCTTGAGAGGAAAAAGGTTCCCCACCCCTGGGTTAAAACCATCAATTGTGTCTTACATCTCCATGAATTTGTGATGCTTTTAATGCAGCTCCATTTCAAATACAAGTCTTTGTTCACCACATCACAAATCAGATTAATTTCTCTTGGTTTCCACATTGCCTAATGCAGCCACCTTTATGATAAATCTAGTCTTTGAGACCACTCGGAGCATGTTTACATGTCAGCATTTACACCCGCATTTACGCAGCAGAGGCTACTATACAAGTGGCCACCTGCTCATAAGGAGCCCTATATATTCACACACAGACGCACTTGCACTCTGATTGTAGGACGACTGTTCTACCTCCTGAACCAGGCCGGTGTTAGAGAAATCAGCAGAGAGATGTCTGCTTTCTCCTCTATTTAATACAACTCAATTGCTCTTGGCTTGTGGGGTTTAAAGCCACACAAAATACATTTTAACATGTCCACAGCCATGTCTTCTTCAGAAATCATGACCCTGTCACAAATGATAATCTTTGATAAGACCTTTTTAAAGAATGTACATGCTTGATAATTACCATTATGCTGCATTAATGCTTTCTCTTTACATATACAGTACATATCCAAGAAATAATAATCATAATTCCAAACATGTTTAATGATATGCTCCTTGTGTGGCTGGCAGGTGGTTACCAAGCCAGAGGAAATGTCATTTCCTCTGGCAGGAAAAGGCTTGGTTCTAAAGTTTTGTTTTTCTCTCTTGAAGCTGTGCTTCCTTAAACAAATATAATGTCATTTTGTTTGTGCTAATGTTCCTCTGAAGTGTGCTGCTGTCAGCTGGTGGATGATCACTGTGTCGTTTTGTTTCAGAGTGCGGCTGCAGCTCTTCAGGACTCAGAGGATGGGCTGGGGAGTCAGGGCCATGCAGGATATCCCACAGGGAACCTTCGTCTGCGAGTGAGGACAGGCCTACACCAAATTCAGTGTTTTACAGCATACAGCAATACTGAACCGCAGCTCTAATCCCCCCCCCATCTTTTCACAGGTATGTCGGAGAGATCATCACAGATGCAGAGGCCGATAAAAGAGAGAATGACTCTTTCCTCTTCACCCTCGACAATAAGGTGATTAACTCGGTTTAATGAATGTTAAACAGCTGCAGTTGGCTGGTATGAGACATGATTGCATGAAAGTGTTAACTTGTCATTGTGTGAGGTAAGAGAAGAAAATGCAGTTTCAATAAGAGGGAGGACTCGGAGAACACGTGTGAAGCTGCTGTTACTTTCATGTAATCAGATATTTATGTTTACAGTGTACTTTAGTCACACAGAGAATGGTAACATTGAGTATTTAGGTTAGGATTGAGGCGGGATTCAGTTGAACTCTAATGGATTTGAATCTTAATCTTTTATTTGATCAAGAGTAACACGAGTAAAAGTGCCCCGCCCACGTTTTACAAGGCACTGCTTAGAATATTACATTACATTTCATTTAAATGACGCTTTTATCCAAAGCGACTTACAATAAGTGCATTCGACCAAGAAGATGCAAACTTGAAGAAAGCAGAATCATATAAGTACATCAGGTTTCATAGAGCCGAAAAAAGTGATACTCAACTAGCTTTAGATAAGTCAGTCCTTTGTTAGTATATAAGAATACCTTCAGAAGCAAGAACAAACACAAACCTGAACATGGTTCTCTATACATGCCTGCTACATTATATATTTAGGGATATAAGAACTATAATAAGGAATGTTCGCATTTGAGATTCAGAGTCTATTTTACAAGCGAGTCCCGGCAAAGACGGCAGCAAACCCGAGAACAAGAGACTTAAAACAATACGGCAAAATATAATACTGCAGATCTGTACTGAACTGTCTCTCTGCCTCAGCACTCCTCAGGCTGTCTCACACCAGCTGAGCGCATGATGACAGGTAGCTGTTAGCACCAGGGGGGACTAGTCTCTTTGATTCCTTAAAGGTGGGGTAGGTAAGTTTGAGAAACCGGCTCGAGATACACTTGTTGTTATATTCCATGGAATGCTCTTAACATCCCGATAGCAATGAATATCTGAAGTGCTTTGACAAATAATCCATACAAAAATGTCATCTGAGGAAGCTGTAGTACTGTAAAAAGCACGACCAATCATTTTAGCCGGCCCGGCTAAAATAACTGGATGGCCTACCTGCCTGTCAGCCTTCCATCTGTGCACAAACTTATCTCGTGCCCTCATTGGTCATGTGCGCGTTCGTGTGTGTTGGAGGAGGGGCTCTGTAAGGAAGTGGCAGATTTTCTCCGGCTGTGTATTTTCAAATTCTAGCGATCTCGAGCCGGTTTCTCCAAAATGACCTACCCCACCTTTAATAGCCAGTTGTTCTTTTGAAGTATAATTATATATGTTGGGTACTTTTACTTTTGGTACTTTAAGTATATCTTGATGCTAATACTTTTGTACTTTTACTTGAGTAACCTTTTGAATGCAGGATTTAACAGAGTATTCCTACACTCTGGTACTACTACTTCTACTTAAAGGAAACCTATCATGCTATATTTAAATGATATATTGTAGGGCCATACCTATAATAATAATAAGGTATATTTATACGTTTCTGTTTTCAAAATACCAAACAGATCATGCATTTTAGCCATGCCTCATTTCGCTCTATGTGCTGTTTGCTGTCTACGGGTCTGATTCTGCTGACCACGCCCCCCTGCAGGAGAGGGGAGACGTGCTCTGATCAGCTGCTGGGCTGTCAGAAGAGGGGGAGAAAAAGAGATCTCCGTCCTCCGTGTTTTATTATAGCCTATATAGAGTCGTTATTCATTTGTTTTAAAGCTCAATAAATAACAAAGAAGACCTTTGACCGGCACTTTTCTAATTTTGTCCGGAAGATTTAAACTTTAACGGATATCTTGACCGGCGAAAGAAACTGAAACTCTGCCGCACGGTCCCCTCGTTCCTTGGAAGAGGCGGAGAGGTGGGTGTTTGTCATCTGCTGGTGGACTAACCGGAGAGAATTACAGTGCTTGCCTCGACGGGGAGGGATTGCATTGAATTAAAGCAGCGGGAGCAAACGCTTGCCTCGGGGAGGGAGAAAGAAAGCCACAGCGGAGAATAAACAGAAGGGTAACCATGGTAACCATGTCTTCTTCGCTGCTTTTGTGGCAGACTACAGCGCCACTTACAGGCCTGGCATATGTACTACAGCGTCCCCAGCGCTTTCGAGCGGCAATGGCCGGCCGTGGCCCAACCCCACATTCCCCTGATAGGTGGAGAGTTGGCCCAATAGCCGTAGCGCCACTTCTGTGACGTCAGTGAAGTGTTCAAATCTGTATCAGTCTGTATCAGATCCGTTGCAGCCCCTTTTTTAGAGATTTGGGTATGGAGGAAAATAGAGAGGGTTGTGTTTTCTGACACTTGGGGAGTTCCCTGGAACACCGGGGACACATATTCATGTATAAAAGACGTACAAAAGTGCATTTTGCATGATAGGTCCCCTTTAAGTACAAGATCTGAGTACTTCTCCCACCTCTGACTAACAACCAATATTGGGTACACCAGTAACAAAATTAGCTCAGTTAAATCTAATTAAAATAATAACATCAACTTCCCGTGCCCACGTGCACCACACTAACTACGCTAATGAGTCCGCCTGCTGAAGTGTCTGTGGAAGCACCGTGGAAAACCATTGTTACTGCTCTCAGGAAGAGTCCATGGTTTCCTGGAGTAGTTATTAAAATGGAAAACTCTTTTAATTCGAAATTCTTAAGAAGAGCTTAACTTTGCAGACCGAGAAAGACAGACCAATCATTAATAAGTGTCACTTAATAAAGCTATACAAAACTAATGTGAGGGGCAAATAATTTTCTGAAAAAAAAGACTTGTCTTAATGACCAGATTATTTTAGGAATTTGTGTTGTCAGTATTTAAGAGAATAAAATGTTTATTACTCAATCGTATTAATAGTAAAAGCAGAGATCATTTTGCAGTAGCCTTTCCATTGGTGATGAATGTGTGTGTTTTTTTGTCCCATTCGCACATATTTTTCACTTTTGTTTGTGTGTTCTTAAAAGAAAAGAAGTAAGTAATAAAAAGGACAGCATATAGTGAAGAACATATTCTCTGCACGTGTTTCCCATTGTTTGCTCTGTCTGCTCACGGTGCTGTGCAGGTGGGAGACATTCACTGTATTGATGCGAGACTCTTTGGAAACATCGGGCGCTTCATCAACCACCTGTGTGAGCCCACCCTGCTGGCGGTCCGCGTGTTCACCATGCACCAGGACCTGCGCTTCCCCAGGATCGCCTTCTTCTCCAGCTGCTCCATCAAGGCTGGAGACCAGATAGGGTGAGTGGTGGAGCAGCCTTCATTTTCCTCTCCAGCAACCATAGGTGTATTTTATACTGGGGACGCTGGGGACACGTCCCCAGCACTTTTGGAAACTGCCAATTTTGTCCCCATAACTCTGCATTAGGATCATTTGTTAAAATCTTCTGAAAAAAGTTGGAGAAAGGTTTATTTGCACAGTGAACATTTACATTTGGAAAACTGTTCTCACTTTCTGGGTGTGTTTCTGGTACAGGGATGCAAACTTGTCACCTTTCGGCGAAATTCGCCGTTTTGAATCCAAAATAGGTCGTTTGTGTGATTCATGTAGATCTGCAATAAAAATATTTTTGGGTTATGGGGGGGGTCTGGGACCCGGAATAATCTGCGGCCGCGAGCTGTTATGTGCCATCATGACACGCATGGTGTTCTTTTTTTATATATTATAATGAAGCACGAGCTGTGTGCTCGAGTCTTCCTGCCTGTCGGCTCTGCTCATGGATGTATAATAAGGCTCTGCTGCTCCGCGATGAGGGTCTAGCTTAAGCAGCTACATTACCTACGGGTGCGTTCGTTAATATTAACTGTGCGGTCCGGAGTCACTGTGGCACAGACTGGACCGCTGGTGAACAGCTGTTAGAACGGGCCGTTCAGGTGTTCAGAGCAGAGCTCCCTGTCGGAGCGGCAGAGCATGATGTGCACTGAAAAGTGTTCCTGTCGCAATATTATCGTTGAGCTAGCTAACTAGCATACATTGTCACTATCTGCTAACGTTAGCTTTAGCCTTCGTTTTCAAATAGTTTTTTTCATAGGCTATAAACGGAGGTGGTATAAGTATATTTCTTGTACTAGAGTAAAAGTAGAAGTACTCAGATCTTGTACTAGAGTAAAAGTAGAAGTACTCGGGTCTTGTTCGTAAAAGTAGAAGCACTCAGGTCTTGTACTTGAGTAAAAGTAGAAGTCCTGCATTCAAAATGTTCCTCAAGTAAATGTAGAAAAGTATTATCATCAAAATATAGTTCAAGTAGCGACAGTAAAAGTAGTCATTGTGCAGATTGGTCCATTTCAGAATAATATATATGATATGTTTTATAATGATTGATCATGAAAGTGTTCTCAAAGCTGGTAAAGGTGCAGCTAGTTTGAATGACTTTGTATACTGCAGGGTAGCTTGTGGATTTACTCCAGATGGAACTAAAGTCTGATTTAACACTTGATTATATTTCACATCATTCATCCACATCTGTAAAGTAACTAAAGGTATTAAATACATGTAGTGGAGTAAAGGTACACCAGTTACCTCTGAACTGTAGTGGATTAGAAGAACAAAGTAGCAACACATTGAAATACTTAAATAAAGTACAAGTATCTCAACATTGTACCCAAGTACAGTACTTGAGTTTATGAACTTAGTTACTTTACACCACTGGCTATACAGATAGAAAGACTAAGCCTTGAACAGAAGCATGAAAATACATTTTCAAAATGCTCAACAGTCCTGCCAAAATTATAAACTGACTGCTACACAATTAAAATAAATGCTTTTATACATTTCTATTAGATGTGACTCTTTGGCGTTTCTGTTATTATTAACTGCTTTAGTTGTTCTGACTGCTAACATCCTCTGTTATTCCTCATTTTAAAGCCGATATTCCGTGGGGTCGGGGGGCTCGGATCCTTGTCACCTTTTTCATACCTGATGAGTTTGCATCCCTGTGGTAACCAGAGTGGTGCAGTTTGGACCAATATGATTAATATGAGGGAAAACCTCAAGAAGCATGCCCTTTAATGCATAGCTAACAAATAGCGAGCCTACATTACTGTATATTTTTGCCGGGGCCGCTGGTGTTTTTTTTCAATCTGAAAACAGTGTCCCCACCACTTTTTCTAACAAAGTGCTAGCTATAGAGTTCCTTTGATGGATTGCTGTCTCTTCCTCACCAGGTTTGACTATGGCGATCACTACTGGAGGGTGAAGAGCAAGTACTTCAGCTGCCAGTGTGGCTCTCTCAAGTGTCGCCACTCCGCCAGCAGCAGAGAATCTCACTGATGACCACTGACCCCCCCCTCAGCCTGGACTCATTCTGTTGGACCTCTTTAATGTCAGAAACACTGTCTTCTGAACCTGATACCACATAGGACTGATGTTTTATTACTGTTCACCTAGATTCCCTGTTCAAAAGCAACACATGAGGAATAAAGCTTGTGGAAATGTGTCATCTCAGAGCACATGTTCCTACTTATTTACAGACCTAATGACACTTTTCTATAAGAACACTGCAGCTCAGCCAGAAATACTGTCTGTGAGAGTGGATTTAACTAGCATTTAAACATGAACTCTGAAAACTGCCAAGTGTTATACTGGTGGATTAATGAAGTAATGCAATGGTTTGATAGTCTGATCTCTTATGTAAACATGCTTTTTACTAAATGTCTAACTAGCAGTTAAACACATTTTTAAAGGATCTGTTTTATTAATGAATTATAGTTGCCAATAGAAAGAAGAGACACAGCTTCTGTCTTCACACAGCCCCAGCCTCAGTCGGGGGATGATGTCCTCTGAGTTGGCGTTGAGGAACAGAAACCTGATGACACTCGGTGTGAAGAAGTGTGTTGTCTTAAAAACCATTCAGCTGAAACATATATTGACACTAATGGACTCAAACCAGGAAAAACGTACTGACCCAAAGTACGCGATGTGTTTGTCAACATTTTTGGCTGTAAATATAATAATTTTTCAGGTTACATTTTTTAATCCCTTTTCTCTTTTATTCTGGCCAAGGCAGGAAAACGGCTCCAGACCAAAGATCCTCTAAAGCAGGGGTTCCCAAAGTGGGGGTCGCGAGACCCCGAGGGGGGGGGTCGCGAGATGATTCAAAATAAAATGTAAATAATAATAATAAATAATAAAAAAAAAAATTATTTTGTATTATTATTATTATTATTATTATCCAGTGTTTCCCACATAATTTGATTCTATTTGTAGGGGCACTGCACCACCCCCATGCAAATGAGCCATAATCTCATTAAATATGCGCATATTTTAATACTTTCAGGAACACAATTCTGAACATTGGATAAAGTCAGGTTCGAAGTTGTTGTTTCTCTAATACACCCTAAAACATATTGTACAATAATTCTGAAGAAGTTAACGTAAGTTTTATTTGACTAAACATACTTTTAACTGGTATTTAAAGCTTTATTGGTTGTGTTTACAGGCTTGCTCTTATTTTGGAAGTTATCGCGTAGGCTAAATGTTGTTTAATTTGTGTAACTTGACCCGGTGTGGCGCTCTCCTCCCTGTTGCTATGGAAACAGGGCCGGTCCAGGTGGAGCCTCACTGGCGTCTGTCGGTCACGTGGGTCTCTGAAGGAGCAGTGCAGAAAGTAGTGTGTCTGCATCACGTTAACAACCTGTTTCCCGAGCCTTCTCCTCCGGTACCGAAGAAACAGAAAGTGATAGTGACGGTGGCGCGCGTTGCTTCAGATTCAGCCTTCAGCCTTCAACGCGAACATGAGAGGGGTCGCTATGGAACACAAATGAGTATTTTATGGATGCTTTAAGGAATTATCCTGTTTCCTCGTGCTGACGGTTCGCGGTATTTTCTCAGCTGTTTAATCCGACTTTCTCCCCAGGCTTCAGGAGGAGCCTCCTGTAGCATGGAGCTCGCGCGCTGACGCCAGCAGCACCTCCACCGGGCAGGGACGCGGTAGGACATGATGCATCATGGAATCTGAGCAGCTGCACTTTAAGCAACAATTCCGCGAGTGAGGTCATGGGCAGCAGCAGAGACTGAGTGAGGGTCGTTGTTTCCCGTTAATGTGTGACTTTGGTGCACGTGGTACCCGTAGCTAGAGGACCGGGGGGACGGGACGGGACGGGGCGCGCTGTGCTGTGATGCTCCATCTCATCCCGGGGGTCAGTTTTGGTTTCTCAAGCAACACCTGCTCCCTCCCACCATGGCTCGCTTTGAAGAGGACCTGGCCGGCCGCTACGGAGGCGGCGGCCCCGCGGGCCCGACCAGAGGGGTCAGCCGGCTGCCGGGGGTCCCGAGGGTGTACAAGCAGACGATGGCCCAGAGAGCCCGGACCATGGCGATCTACAACCCCATCCCCGTCAAACAGAGCTGCCTCGCCGTTAACCGCTCTCTGTTCATCTTCAGTGAGGATAACATCATACGGAAATATGCCAAAAAGATCACCGAATGGCCATATCCTTTACAGTCAGTCAGACCGACCAGCAGAGGTTCTATCCCGGCTCTTCCGCGGGATCATTCAGCCAAGCTCCGCGAGAATGTGTCAGTTAGAGGCCCATTGCTTACCGGTAGAAAATACATACATCTAATAATTCAGACACTATCTCAAATTAAATTAAAGGATATATATTTTCATTCAGCACATGTGCAATATGCAAAGAGGCGTTTTAATCAGTGAAATGTAAAACTAGTTGGTTCTCCTTGTGTTTCCACAGCCTTAAATACAGAGGGAAGTGCTGCAGCAGAATGAGAGCTCCTCAGTTCATCTTCTGTTGATATAAATTTAGCTCTTAACAATTTTCATCAAAGCACCCCGGCTCGTCTGTTGACACGAAGAGAATCTCAGAGAGCCACATTTCTGATGTAGTTCGGCATAATGTTTTCATATTTCATTGATTAATTATTACCAATCTGCTGGTCACAACAGGCATCATGCCGTTTATACTCCGGCTGACTGACAGTGGGTTGTGATTGAGAGTAGTACATCAAGGCTGTTAGTTGTATGATTACATGATGTACTTCATGATGACAGCGTTGTGCAGGTTTACATCCCTGATGTTTCATGAAGGCTGCAGGTGGAGCTGTCCAGGGTGCTGAACTCCCAGCAAACAGCTTCTAGGCGGTGGCAAACTGCATGGGTGTGACACCAAACAAACAAGCTGTCAATAAAATGACATTGAGCAAAGAACACAATGATGATGATTCTCATTGAAAATTGTTATGTATTGTGGTGGGAGTGTGTTTGCATATCTATAAACCTTTGTGTATGCTTTCCATGAAAGTTCCTTAACACTTTCACTCCATTTGAGTACATGATCCTGGCCACCATTATTGCAAACTGCATCGTGCTGGCCCTGGAGCAGCACCTGCCGGCCTCAGACAAAACCCCCATGTCCGAGCGCTTGGTGAGTGGACACGACCGCTTCCTTTTCCTGTAGGCTCCTCATGTCTCATCCATGGAAAGGATAGTTTACTGACTGACATCTGTGATGCTTCTCGTGTCTGTCTGCTGCAATCATGAGATCAACATGTGCCCTGTTTACCCCCCCCCCCCTTATTTTCCAGTCTTTGTGTTACATCGAGTTCTGCAGGAATCAGTCTTTAAAGCCTGAAATGAGTCCGCATTTTGCCACTTCTGTCTCCCTGTTCTGAATTCAATGACTTTTAAATGGCTGAAATACGTTCAATGGTCAACAGTCACTTAAGAGGTTTTCAAATATTTTCTATAAAAGAAAAAACGTAAATACCCCACTTATACATTTTGATAAACTTAAAAACAATTCCTGGCTAAATGTGACTTTAGAGTCATTACTAGTCTGCCTTCTCATCCTCCTTGTGTGCTCTCACAAACTGCCTTAGCTCAAACAGTTTCTATATTTATCAATGTGTTCTTTTTTCCTGTAGCAAAATGAAATATAACTGTTAGCTTTTCACTTTTGGCAATTACATTTACGTTTTAGGTGTTGATCTTTTGTAAATGTATCATTACCTTAGGTTACTCTTGTTAAGTCAACCTTTCTCAGAAGCCACATCAGCACTCTACACCTCAAATGGTTTCAGATATTCATCGGACTGTACATGATAAGGAAACAGCAGACCCTGGTGTCTGAGAAGCTGCTATCATTAAAAATGGTTGCCAATTCACTTTCTGTTGAATTATGTATCATAACCGACCAATGGTTTCCATCAAAAACCCAAATGGCGTTTGTGTTGAAATTTGAGTTGAGTTTCCAGACTTTTAGATTTTTGTCAGGACAAATCTATGGCCATCGAATGTGGTCCAAGTTGTGTGACTCAAGTCCATACCCTGACATAGACTGGCTCAATCACGTTTTATTGACACAACCAGCAAGAGATGTATAATTTCATGATCCTCCCTACTCTGCTTTTTCTAACAGGACGACACAGAGCCCTACTTTATTGGAATATTTTGTTTTGAGGCTGGCATCAAGATCATCGCTCTGGGCTTTGCCTTTCACAAAGGCTCCTACCTGCGTAGCGGCTGGAATGCAATGGACTTTGTGGTGGTCCTAACAGGGTGAGTGAGTGTGTGTGTGTGTGTTATATAGATAAGACGCTGCTCTGAGAGGACGCCTCCCTCTGATGTTCAGAGAGGGGGGGTCACATCAGGACAGCTGGGGGAGGGCTGACTTTTATGCAAAATCAGGTCTCTTGAATACCAAGTGTCCCTTAACAGTTCAGTTTCTGAGTCTGAGACACCCCCAGCATTCAGCTGGGACTAAATGAAGGGGTAAATACAAATGTAATTGAATTGAACTTGGGAAAACTAATGTCAATTTGTCCATTTTTGTGAAGAAAAAAGAACAGGAATAGAGAATTAGAGGAGGCCAGTGTAGAGTGAGGATGTTGTGTTGCTCCTCAGATCCAACTCTAACTCACCTGACTGCTGCTGGGCTGTACAGGTGATGCTTAGGGTGCAAATGAAAAGTCGATTTTTTTTAGAATGAGCGATTTTCGCAGAACGCCAGAGACACGTGGTGATTTTCTGTGATTCATTTTTCTAGGTAAACAACCCAACAGTATTTAAAGGAGTCAAAATAACCTCACACCTTTAACCTGAAAAGCCTTTTCTTTCACGAAACTGTGTCTCAGGGCTTCTTAACATTTAAAAACCTATTAATGTGTCATACCCACTTAACGGGAAGAAACTCAGCTAACTGACGATATGAACCATTTTTAGCTAAACGAAACACAAGGGTAATACCAAGCCTCGGAATTAGCCCTGAGCGGAAAAATGCTAACGCACTTAGCACAGAACTCACGGTAGAAATACTTTATTACTTATCGGATCTGCACAAACAAGATATCAGCTAGCAAGCTGAGATTCCACAGAAGTATTAGTATCATCACTGTACGATCAAAACTCGCGGCAGGGGAAGCCAACCCAGACAACACACCACGTAGCTTTACTGAGCCAAACAACAAATATGTCTTACCTTTTGCTGTTTCTGATCAAAAGTTGTGTTCAATGGCATTAAAACGATAAAAACGCTGCTGAAGGTTAATCAAATGTGTCTGTGTCACTTTGAAATGATTACTGATAATCCATCATTCCATTTTTGTCAAAAACTGAGATTTGTTGTTGTTTTCATATAGAGTGTGTGAGGAATACAACAGCTTCCGGTTTTGGGCGTGCTGGCATGCATTCACCAATGGTAATGTTTAGATGGATTTTAGGAACTTCCCCTCAATTCTATTGGCTCTAACGTTTGAAAAGAGGTGTCAATCATCAAAATCGACCGAGGGGGGCCAGAGATATGGCAAATGCACCCAAATGACCCCAGAAGTAGTTTCTTTTTGCTAAATCTCTCTAAAAAGGTCAGATGTCACTTGTTTTGCATCAATCTTGATACAGGGTACTTATTATAGTTTGGATTCCTAAAGCTTTTAGTCTACTATCCCATCATTAAGGGTGGTTTTCACTATAAGTCATTTTTTTTCTTTTTGGACGGACACTATAATTTAATTTTTTTTACTATGTTCAATCTGAATTTACTTTAAAATAAAAAAACATCTATATTGATTCTGACTTTTCTACATCCAACTCACAGGTTTATTATTGCTTTGAGAAAAAAGATTATTAATGTAACCCTTTTAGAAGGGACGATATGGTCATTTGTTCTGGGTATGTCATTTTCGAGCCTGAGACCTGAAAAACAGGCTCATAGTTAGGTTAAACTATAAGTCCACAGCTCTAACCTGCGCCATAATGCAGCAGTAATATTAACACAGAAACCTTATTTACTATTGTTGAACATGAGTAGGGCCCATCATCCTCGTTTAATGCAGGAAAGCCAAAAGGAACACTGTTAATATTGGATGAATTGTTCAGCCCCATTGTTCAATAATATACTGGAACAGTTATATAACTTTGTAAAGCTGACGGGCAATGTGTGCTAATGTTGACCCTTCAGCAGAGGATTGTACTGTCTGCATATTATCACCATTAAGCATCTCCATTTTGCTGCAGAAATGCCGAGCGGGCTCTTTTTTCATTGTAACATCTCAGATGTTCTGGAGAAAATCCCTTGCTGTTTGGAGGGAAAGCTAGTTGGGAATGAGGGTTGGTGGGGCGGGGGGATAGGGGGGTTAGTGACAGAGGATGCTGTTCCGCCACACAGAGTCCCTGAACGCCTGCCGCTGCCACCAGGGGACGGCAGGCTCTCTGACAAAATGACACAGAGATTTATTCAGCTTCTATTGGGGCATGTGTTAGGAACCTCACTGCATAAACAGGGCTCCTCCAACGCCCGCAGCTCTCATCAAGTCCTTCCCCAAGTCCTTTAATAATCAGGCTATATTTTATTTAAGCTTCCTTCTCTAATAACTTCTGACTGTATCTAAAGAATGTTTTTGGTTGCTCTTCTCTGACAGTCTTTGGGCTGAGCACTTGAATGTGCTAGAGCTGACACCTTTTTAAAAGTAAAAAGTCCAGGTTAGTTTGAATTAACATATCATTCCTGAGTTAGCCCAATGGTCCCTCTACCCAGAAACGTTCCATCCACTGGAGTGTCTTACCCTTCACTGTGGTCTTTTATCTCTGTTGAGATTGTGGTGTGACTTTTATATTATGGCTCCGGTGCTGTCAGTACCCTGAAAAGCTTCTACTGTGAAGTATAGTCAGATGAGGGGGAGAGCTGATTGGAGGAATTGAGCATCACATTTGATTAATCACACAGCCCTTATGTGCAAGATGAAATGAACACCTAATAGAATATTCTCTTAGTGTGAGTTACAGTGAAAGGCTGAATTAAAAACAGTAGTCAGTTGTTTGTGTTAGTATGTGAGCTGTGTGAGTGCAGGTCTGATTGAATACGAGCTGAGCAGGCTGACATGATAACAATAATTGGGGGGAAGGTTTGGGAGAGGCCATTACAGCAGCAGTCTGCACTTCCTGTCAGAGCCTCGCTGCAATGACTGGATGTTGTGCGGGAACATACTCAGATCGCTCATATAAAGAGCACACATGCCGTCAGGGACACTTGGACGTGCATGCACACACATGCCGACAAATCAATTCTCCATGATGAGGTCCATTTCCTGCAGGATGTGCTGTGGAGAAACCACAACAATTAGGCATTAGCAATGACTCCCTGCATTCAGCTCGTTTGTACAGAACTTCAAAGTATCCGTTTTTATTGTTGGCTTTGTGAACTGTTAATACATGGTTAGCTCAACAGCCTTCATTGGTTGTGGATTCAACTCAATGTCATAACACACATTCTTAAATTAATTTCTAATCTAATCTATTTACAAAAGTATAAAGGACTATATTTGCATGTTTGTCCTTGATGATGATATATGATCTGATATATGCTCATGTGAACTCCAATGACCAGATTGCAAAAGAAACAAACAGAGTGGGAACTTGGCTGTTGAGGACTTGAAGCATGTATTCACTGACATACTGTATATTCTGTAAACACACTGTACTGCTACATGCACAACTACTGTGTTATGCTACTGCTGACGTTGTATTCGCCGTCACACACACTCACACACTTTCTTTCTCTCTTTCTCGCCCACACTCCTTAGCATAACACACACATCGCTATGCATCGAGTTATTTCTCAAAGGACTTAACACACTTTAATTAAAAAAACACTCAAAAACAAAAGTCCTATGCTGGGCGAGCTGACATTGCCCTGTGTGTGTACTCCTCTCAACACAGACTCTTTATAGTATTCATTATTACTGTGGCTGTATTACTGTTGAGACCTCTCAGTGACTAACCATGGGAATAGATGATAACGGCCTTCTACATCTTTTATAGCAGGTCGCTTGTAATCCCTATGATGCTGATAACGCCCATCCAATAGACTCATAACATCTGAAGGGAGGGTGTCTGAATAATGCATAGTACTCATGTGTGAGGCCGTTCAGGGGCAGTCTCATTCTAACACCATTACCATTTTGAACATGCCATCAATTGATCCGAGTACACTCTACACATGTGTTTGCTCTCAGGATATGGACCTGGGCCATCTTTCATGAGCTAATGAGATCATGTGGAGGGGGGGTGCATGAACAGCAGAGGCTGATAGGTCCTGTAGGGCAGGCCCGACCGTACCATGTTTCAGTAAGATGTGGGGGTTGCTAATAAGAGCATATATCTGCCTCTCCCCATGCTCCCACCCAGATCAATAGTGTATTGAGCGGAGCGCAGAGGGAATAGAATCACTTCAGCTCTGCTCTCTATAGCTGGCTGGATCAAAGCAGCTGCCTGTGGATATCAGCAGCGCCTTCCCACAGTATAGCCTCCCCCCCCCCCCCCCCCCCCCACACACACACACTGCCACACACACAGCTCAGGGTAGCACTTCATGCTTGGTGGGTCATATTTTCCAGTGAAATATATTATTTCAATATCTTACGCAATGTCTTGTCACAGAAATGAGTTTCTGGCATTGTCTCTCGATGTGATGTCAGCCATAATCCTGTTGTCCCAATTTAAAGTTAGTTGACTGTACTTCTATCGTCAACTTACCAAGTTTGAACCTGGTGTAATGTTGAATGATAAGGGCCTCTGGTCTGGTATAACACTTATGAAGGCTGATGTAAACTTTATAGACACATGTCACTAACTGTCAGGTGGCATAATGACTCAAGTGATTTTTTGGAATATAAAGGAATTTAAAGAGTACGTTTCTTGTATATTGTCACTTAAAGGTGGGGTAGGTAAGTTTGAGAAACCGGCTCGAGATACACTTTATGTTATATTCCATGGAATGCTCTTAACATCCCAATAGCAATGAATATCTTAAGTGCTTTGACAAAAAATCCATAAAAACATGTCATCTGTGGAAGCCGTAGTACTGTAAAAAGCACGACCAATCATTTTAGCCGTCCCGGCTAAAATAACTGGATGGCCTACCTGCCTGTCAGCCTTCCATCTGTGCACAAACTTATCTCGTGCCCTCATTGGTCATGTGCGCGTTCGTGTGTGTTGGAGGAGGGGCTCTGTGAGGAAGTGGCAGATTTTTTCCGGCTGTGTATTTTCAAATTCTAGCGCACTCG